AGAAAGCTGGGGGCAGAAATGGGTAGAAGGAATTAATCATTGTCTTTGATCACCAACCCATCTTTAGTAAGAAAGGCCCATCAACTATTAATAACTGGGCTACCTTTGTTCTTGTTCCTTGACCTTAACAAGTCCCTCGCTCAAATATTAAAAGTGAGCCTTTCTTAACTTTAAATTGCTCCCCAAGATTTTCTACATCAAAGCCATCAACAAAAAATCTTAACCTAAGTTTACTAACAATCTACATGTCTAAATTCTTTCTGAGGGTGGTGGTTGAATCATTCATCAATCTTCTCCAGCAGCGATGCTAGGAAAAAGTCAATCACTATATTGTAAGTACCAGTAACAGTGCCCATTTAGGGACTAGAAACCTCCTGAGAGTTTTCATACAACTCATGAGGGACATGGTGACCTCGAGGGCAATAAGCAGAGCTATGCTCAATAACAGCATGAGATCCTCATGTCACATAGTCCTTGGGGCTCTGCCTCTCCAAGGCTCACCCAGTGTGATTATGCTGACAGTCAGTTCATATTTCATGAGTTCCAAAGCTGTTTGCTGATCCTCCCTCATAGCCTCTGACACTGCCCTGGTTGCTCTGTGGAAGCCTTGTGTTGGGTCTGGGGAGCCCTGCTCCTTAGGGAAGCCCTACCACCATACTGCAAGTAGGTCCTGCAAGGGTAAACTAGAAAGCCATAGGAATGCCTACCCTGGAAGCTGCAAGTGTCATGTTGGTATTTTAAAAGTTGTGTGAAAAAAAAAAAAAAGAAATTTGGTCTGTATCAGTCAAGCCAGATGAGTTGAAGTGACAAGAAATAACCTTAGAATCTAGAAAAGCAAGATCTTTATCAGTTAAACTCTCCATGAAGTTTTCCAAGAACAACTTGAAATGTAGAAGCAGGGGTGGAGGGGGTGGTGGGTGGCGGTGGGGGGGAGATGGTATCCTCAAAGCTATGGGGGGATGATGGTATCCTCAAGGCTATAAGATTTTTACAGGTGGTGTGTGTAATAATTCTTCCAGAATAAAAACCTCCATGGTAAGTGGCACGCCTGTATAATCATGAATGCTGAACATGCTCAGTGCATCTCATGGCACCTATCACAATGAAATATTTGCTCCAGAGAAACAATACAGAAATAATCATGGCGTCATTAACCCTACAGTTTGAAGATGAAGCCTGTAATTCTGTAAGAAAAGCCAATTGACCTTGGGCAGTTAGTGTCTTAATGTTCCTCAGGTGATTGTGAACTTCAGTAAATTGGTTCACATAAAGCCTTTGTCCAGTGAATCTGGCTGAGAGAATTGCCATTAAATTTATAGTCTGAAACTACCTAGAGGAATTATTTGAGAAATTAGAATTAGTATTTTATATCTTTTGGGGGATGGTGGTAGTAGGGGGGCACATAGGGTCTCTGGCTAGTCTGGAACTCACTTTGACCCAGGCTGGTCTTCCCAGGTGCTAGGATGGATTGCATCAACTACTGTGGATGGCTCTAATCTTCTCCTCCTTCTTCCTCTTCTTTTTTTTAACCCTTTGGAGCTGAGGACCAAACCCAAGGCCTTGCACTTAGTAGGCAAATACTCCCACTGAGCTAAATCCCCAACCCCCAATCCCTAATATTAACCATGATGCTTTTTAAATTTCTGTATGTGTGAATCTGTTTTCTCACATGTCACCAACCATTCTTCACCCCACATTTACCATCTGCCTCTCAGATAGATGCTAAATATAGAATGCAGTATTTATCTAGAGCTGTTCAAAGGAAAAATGTTTGACATGAGTGAAACACCTCTGATTAATGTTCTAAAGCATAAGCTTTTAGTTGTTTTGTCTTTAACAAAAAATTACTTCACTTTGGGGATGTGGAGTGATGGGGCCTAGTTTGGCCTCAGCTCTACCAAAACAAAACTACTTGGAAGTACACGTATGTCATAATCCTCTTCCTTTTTAAACATAATTCATAAACAATAACAGTTTTGAGGATCAGCTTTGTTCTGTGTATCTGTAAATAAATAGTTCTCTTTTCTTTCTTCAGGTAACTGGGCTTTCTTTTTAATTCTGTGATTCAATCATTTTATACACTTAACTACTTTAAAGTTTTATTGGCTAATCTATTCTGGATTTGGAAAGCAGATGTTGAAGGTTGCTGAGAATTGTTCATGACAGTGATGAGGCTTGGACTGTATATAAAAACAATCTTAGGCACAGGGTGGGAAGGTGTCTGACTTGTTAACTTTCCAAGCTATGTGTTGGGTGCATTAAGTAAGCAGTTAGGTCCAGGTTCTTTCTGAGTTTGCAACATGTTTGCAAATTTCCATAATTTTTTTTTCCTTTTTCTCTGTATTTGTATGTTTGTGTGTATGTAAGCAGGTGTGGAGGCCAGAGGTGAATATCAAGTGTCTTCTTCATTTGCTCTCCCCTTATTTTTTAAAGACAAGGTCTCTCTCTCTTACTGAACCTGGAGCTCACTGCTTAGCTAGCCTGGCTGGCCAGCAGGCACCAGAGACCCTTCATTCCACTTCTCAAGAGCACCTCTGTACCTGGCCTACTTTAACTAATTATTTTTATTGATAAATTATTTTTGTTGTTTTTGTTTGTTTGTTTGTTTTCTGAGACAGGGTTACTCTGTAGCTTTGGAGTCTGTTCTAGAACTAGCTCTTGTAGACCAGGCTGAGTCTGGAACTCACAGAGATCCACCTACCTCTGCCTCCCGAATGCTGGGATTAAAGGCATGCGCCACTAACACCCGGCTGTTTTGTTTTTAATTAACTTAATTAACTTAATTAACTTGCTAATTAATTTTTTGTTGTTTTGTTTTTAACATGGGTGCTGGGAATCAAGCTGTTCTTCATGCTTGTGTGGCAAGCACTTAGCTGCCTCTTCAGCCCCACTCTTTGTTTTATTGAGACAGGACTCTGCAACTCTTTACTGACATGGCACTCACTGGGTAAACCAGACTAGCCTTGAATTTGTAGTGATCCTCTGTCTCTACTCCTTGAGTGCTAGGATTAATGGCCTGTACCATCATTCTGGCTTAGTCTTTTTTTTTTTTTTTTGTCTTTTTTATTATTCGTTTATTGATTACTATGAATGGTGAAAGGGGGGTGGCAGTCTCATGCGTATGTCATAGTGCATTCGTGAAGATCAGAGGACATCATGGTGTTGGTTCTCTTTTACTTTTATGTGGGTTTGGAGCATTGACCTCAGCTCATCAAGTTTGCATAGCAAATGTCTCTACCAAGGCCTAGGCTAGTTTCTAACTCATTATCCTCCTGCCTCAGCCTCCAGCATATCCTGCTGACTTGTGCCACCACAACCTGCCTATTGTTTTTGGGGTTTTTCTTTTTGGTGTTACTGTTTTACGTTTGCAATTAAAAAAAAAAGTTTGTCAGATCTATACATGGCTATACATAGTTCATTTCCTTGGTTAAACAAAACAAAACAGGAAACTTAATAGTATTTATCCCTGGGCAGAAATACTGAGCTCTATTAGATCTGTTTTTGTTAAGGTGCTGTTATTATTTGCTTTTGCAAGCTATTGGAGACCTGTTTCTGGCCTTTGTTAAAAGTGTGTAGAAGGTCTACCATCTTCTAAATTTTGTCATTAGGTATGTTGCTGTGCTTTATTTTTTACCATTGTCTTTTTCTGCCTGGAGCATATATTTTTATATATAATGCAAGAAGAAATTTTGTTACTTTTGCTGAGAAGTGCAATCAGTATTTTCAAAAGTAGATTTTCTTTGTACTTTACACTTATTTTAAAGACAGGTATTTGTTTTATAATCAGCAAGAAAATTAACTATAGTAGTAACTTCATTAACAGTTTAGGGTATGTGGCTACGCAAAGCTTCTGACATGACTGTGTACCCATCAGGAGCATCAGTCATAGGTAGACACTTGGGTCTTGCTTAAAACAATTAAATGATGGTGGATATTTCAGTGAAAGTCTTTCTTGTCAACACTTTTACTAATTAACTTCTGATTTGTATCTTAATTTGCAATTTATGGAAATAATTGTCTCTATCTCTTAATCTACAGATTAAGGTTTGAAATAGCTGATAAATTCAGTCTTTGGTCTTTGATTCTTGAAACATGAATTGTATCTCTCTCTCTCTCTCTCTCTCTCTCTGTGTGTGTGTGTGTGTGTGTGTGTGTGTGTGTGTGTGTGGTTGGAACTGAAGAAGGTGGAAGTGTCTCAGTAGTTAACAGAACAATACAAGTCAGAATATTGATGTGCCAGCCTTTTACTCTGTCACTCATTTGGATGTGTTAGTAATCTGTGTCAGAAAAATTGGTAGAAAAGTTGATAGTAATAGCTACTACCAGTGTTAGTTTGTGAAGTGCTTCAACAACCCGACTTAAAAACTAAAAACATTCTTGAGTAGCTCTCTGAAGTAGCTGTGTTACCCCTTTTTTTATAGTTGAGACTCAGAGAAATTGAGTCCACCTAGCAGCAAGAGAAGCATTAGACTTAGCAGTATACCCCAGAACCCACCTGCAGCTAAGCTAGGCTGAGGCTTGCTTTGTTATAAGAGTCTTCGTAAGTGCCTGGGTTGTGGGAAAGAAAACTGAAACTTGGGGTGGGGGGGGGGACAGACGGACACACGCTCAGTGGAGCATGCTGGCCTGGCAGGGATGAGGGCCAAAGCTTACTCTCCAGTTAAGGGTTTGTTGAATGCCATTACAGTGTGTATACCTCATTGCAAGTTTAGATCCACTTTTGTGAGTGGTTCCCAATAGCAAGTTAAAATTGGTAAGTTTTTTTTATTGTCTCCCCCCCCCCCCCAGGGGAATCATTTGAAAAGCTGTTAGTGTCATTTTCTATTTTCTTGTTTCATAAGTTTTGCTCCAATTCAGTATTTTATTTCAAAATTACAAAATAATTTTGGGGAAATAGATTAGCTGATATTAACTCTTAATATCCTAAAGTTTCATAATTAAATTTTTATTCAGTGCTGAGTTACATAACTGCTTCTCAATTTTCTGTCTTTATTCTACAGAATGGTAAATACGGCTGGCCGTCTCTGGAAAGGCCACTGATCTGCCTCATGTAAAGTATGCTCAGTTCCTTTCCAGTGGTGTAAGTATCTTCTCAACTCTGTCGGTTGCTTTAGTAGTGTGAGACTGTCAGGACTGTGACTCAGATTTTATAACAAATGCTTTGAAATTCAAAGAATTCGTTTAAGTGACTTTTATTTCTCTATGTGTGGGGGTGATTGTTCAGTTGCTTTGGCTTGTGTTTGGAGGTCAGGACAGGTAGTACACTTCTTCTTCCATGTGGGATCAAATGCAGGTTTAGCAGCAAGCACTTTTACCCTCTGATCCACCTTGCCAGCCCAAGATCAAAGACATTTTTAGGAAATTATTCAAATGGTATATGTCTTTGACGTCAAGGTAAACAAGTGTGGTGATGTGGTGAGGAATGAGATTTCAGGCCTGTGAGGTTTTTGTTTTTGTTTTGTTTTGCTTTCTCCATTTTTACTTTCAACATTGTATTTTAACCTTTTTTCCATTTAAACAAAGTTTTTGTGTTTATTATTTCCTTAAAAATCATTTTATTTTAATTATGTGCATATGTGGTTATACAGAAGTGAGTGCAGGTGCCCAAGGAGGCCAGAGGCCTCCAGAGCTGGAGTTCGGAGTGGTTGTTAGCTGTTCCATGTGAGTGCAAGGGACCAAGCTCAGGTCTTCTGTAAGAACAGGAAATGTTCTTAGCTGCAAGTCTCTTCTCCAGACCCATATTCATTACTTTTAACTGTTTAAAGCCTAGAAGCTGCTAAGGTAGGTGATTAAGAGTTGGCAAGAGAGTTGTAGAGAAGGAAGAATGATGAGCAAAGGGGTCAAGACCAGGCTGGGGAAACCCACAGAAACAGCTGACCTGAACAAGGGGGAGCTCAGGGACCCCAGACTGACAGCTTAGAAACCAGCATAGGACCGAACCAGGCCCCTTGAACATGGGTATCAGTTAGGAGGCCTGGGCAGTCTATGGGGCTTCTGGTAGTGGAACAGTGTTTATCCCTAGTGTACGAATGGACATTGGGAGCCCATTCCCCATAAAGGGATACTCTGTCCGCCTAGACACATGGGGGAGGGCCTAGGCCCTGCCCCAAATGATGTGACAGACTTTGATAATCCCCTATGGAAAGCCTCACCCTTTCTATGGAGCAGAGGAGGGATGAGATGGGGGTCAATGGTGGGCATGGGAAGATGGGAAGGAGAGGGAATTGGAATTGATATATAAAATAAGATTGTTTCTAATTTAAATAAAAAATAAATAAGGAGTTGGTGTGAGCTCCAGTTGCATTCTTAGGAATTAGCAGAATATAAGCTCTCTTAATGCTTGATTTGAGTGCAAACTCCTAAGGACACCACAGCCATTTCTCTTCCCTGCGGCAGCTAGTAACATAGTTCTGCCTATTAGCTAATGTAGTTGCTAGCTGTTCTTTGGAGTCAAGGCAGAGAGATACAAATGGAGATGGTGGTGCTGTATCAAGAATGTTTTTGTGCTGGAATATGAACTGTAACCACCAGTTCATACAAAATAGCCCTCAGAATAAAAGTATTCCGGGAATTTCAGAAATTAGAGAAGATAAAGGGCCTATTAGCTCATTAAGTGCATCTTTAGCATCTAGTGTGCAGAGTGCCTTGAGCCTAAGTAATTTCTAAAATTTGGTGGAGTCTGTTTCACTTAAATTCCTTCTGTTTTGGTTGACAATTCTGTAATCTAATAGATAGACATTAAGATTGGTTTTCTTTATTATTTAGGTTTTCCTTTGAAGCCCTCACCTGCCCCCCTAGCGCACATACATTGATTCTGTGATTTAGTGCAGTCTCTGGAGGAGATCCAAATGATAGGACTGTCGTCTGAGTTTCTGCTGAGCAGCCCTGTCCTAGGAAAGGCACTTTATCTTTGGGCCTTTGCCCTCCCCACCTACCCTTTTGTTTGCTTGTTTGCCTGCCTGCTGCTTTCTTTGTCTTTTTTCTGTTTCTTTTCTTTTTCTTTCCCATCCTTGTTTTTTCAAGACTGGCTTCTTACTATGTCTAAAATAACTTGGAACTTGCTCTATACCTCAGGTTGGCTTTAAACTCACAAACATTCTGCCTCATCCTTCTGAGTGGTGGGATTGTAGGTGTATACCACCACATCTGGCTCTTTGACACCAAATTTTTATCTCTCTGTTTATAAACTTGAATGTTTTTAATTAGGTCTTTCTTGTATGTGGTAAAAATAAAGAGATAATCAAAGTAGTTTCACAAATCACACAATTCATTGGCACACAAAGAAACCCCTCCCTCCACTTAGGTTCACTGTTCTGTTTGGTTTTTTGAGACGGAGTCTTGTGTAGCCCAGACAGCCCTCAAACTTGCTACATGGCCAAGGGTAACCCTGAACTCTCAATCCCTCTGCCTCAGCCTTTTGTGTCACCACACTTGGAAAGGTTTATAGTTCTTGAGGAGTGGGTAAAATGTGAACAAACCTCAGAGGACTGTCCTTAATGTACAGTTGCGGCATATCTTAACTGCACAGTGAGTTCCTAAATTATTGAAGCTTAGTTGTTCAGTTAGTGTATAACTGGTTTCTGTGGGAAGTAAGGTACCAGGTGTACCTTTACAGTAGTGATAATGTCATTTGATCTTCACAGTAGAGGTCCCTGAAGTCATGAAGGACACATAGAGATTACCTTGATTGACTGCTGAATGCTTAGCCCCAAACATAACATCTATGTCATCCCCTCCAAGGCCTTCCAAGGCCCAGACATTGAAGAGAGGAAGTAGGACTGTGGGAACCACAGAATAGAGAGGAGTGTGGTGGGGTGCTGTTTTCTGTGACATTAACACAGTAGTCAGGGCATTGTATATATACATTATTGTCACACTTTTTTTTAAGTAATTCGTTTAATTAAAATAAAAGCAAAATATTAAAGAATGTATTGCCAAATGAAAACAGCAATGAGGATTTTGTTTTGTTTTTTTGTTTTTCTTTTTTTAAAATTTATTTCATTTGCATTGGTGTTTTGCCTACATGTATGTCTGTGTGAGAGGGTCAGATTTTGGAGTTACAGACAGTTGTTAGCTGCCATGTGGTTACTGGGAATTAAACCCAGGCCCTCTGGAAGAGCAGTCAGTGCTCCTAACCACTGAGCTATCTCTCCAGCCCCTTTTCTTTCTTTTTTAGCACTTGATGGCTTAGGGCACTGCTGATACTAGTAGGCAAGTGAAACTGCAAAGTCTTCAAAATGTCTGTCAAACGTAAAGTTTTTGAAGGCTAGTACTTCTAGTCAGCAACTTACTAGAGGACCTGGGGAGGTTTAATTTAACATTCTCAAAAGTAGGGAGGGTTCTCAAGTGGATGGGTATTGACTCCTGATCCTTATGCACAGGACTCTGATGAGATTTAATATTCTCTGGCCTATAATCTCAGTACTTGGGACACCAAGGCAGAAGGAGCTTGTGTTCAAGACCAGCCTGAGCTTTGTAGCAAGGCTCTGTCTCATGGTCTGTAGTCATAGACTATTCTTAGGCTTTAGTCAGTTTACCTAATAATTTGAATTATAGAATCATTTTACTCTACTCAAAAGTTCAGTTCCCTGTAAAACATTCTTACTTACTCTTACATGTAATTTTCTTATTTTGAAGCCGCTTCTTCAATGGTAGTAATAACCAAGAAGGGTTTATGTATATAAATAAGAAGGGCCTGGGATGTTTGATTCCTACTACAGTGATCATACAAAGCAAAATGGTTCTTCCTAGTCATTCTGGACACATAGAAACAGTAGAAATAATCCGGGAGAAAACTTTTGTTTGCCAGAAATACTTAACTGTTGATACTTTACAGTTCGTATAGTTTTTTTTGCCCCTTTGATATCAGTGCTAGTTAATCCTTTCTGGATGCTTTAGCTAGACTCTTCTGCTCTCCGTCTTTGGAATATCATTTATAATGGTATATCCCAGGCCTTGTGGCTTATCTAGAAAAGTTTTAGGTGTATTGCAAAATATGGTTAATATCCCAAAATGTACTGTGGTCTTACAGTATTAGTTTAGGAATTGAGCTGTAAGTCCTGACCTGAATTGTTCTTTTCTATTCTAATCTTTATCTGTATTATTCAAGTGTCAAAATTGTTATATTATTTTCAATTACTGTTGGCTGGAGCCTGCATTCAAATCAGTAATTTAAAGCAAAACTTCCCCTTATCCTGTGAGTGATCATTGTGCTTGAGAAAAATAATGTAGCCCCTCCATCTCATCTTCCTTTGTCCTGTAATGATTGCTGGCATTATGGACCTAGATGACCTTTACAGGTCATGTGCTGCTGTTATTTTATGAAGCTGTGCTTACACTCGGAAAATTATGAGAAGTACAAATGGAAAATGGCATAACACTTCCCATCGTGTGGATTGATGCACGGCATAGTATTCTCAATATCCACGAGAGCTTCTAATCACTTGAGTGTTTTTGTTTTTCTTGGTAACATACTGTATTTTCAATGTCATGTGCACAATGTGATCCTGCTCAAGATGCCAGTATCCTTTTCCTCTAAGTCACTCGTTTGATCCTGGCAACTGAGACCTCTGTTGTAGCTCTCTTGGCAGCAGGGGCTGCTCTTGGTACAAATTACAGACATCCTATTTAAACACAGTGAATAATAAAGGGAAGTTGTTTGTTTCACAAAACGAAAGACGACCAAGGTTTAAGTGGCTTAAGAATTACAGGGACAACAAGAGGATGCTGCAAGGCTTTCCTCTTGTTCTCTGCAATTTTTTTGGTCACCTGCTTTATTCTCCCTGCAACTCCTGCTGCACGAAAGACTTCCTGTGGCTTAGAACAGTTAAACTTACTGTCCATCTTACTGTAGTATAAGGAGAACATTTTAAAGAGAGCCAACTTTCAATTCCTATGGCAGCCTGTTCACCAGAAGTTGATTTCTGTGAAGAGCTGACCCAAGAACACATGATTAGGTCTTATGGGCAATCAAAGTAATAGGGGGACCCTGTTTCCTTCCTTTTGATACTTGAATAAAAATGTTTTTCTAGTCTTAGTGGATCCTAAATGGTATAAAATATTTCAGGTACTGTGAAGTTTTATGCTAATAGCCAGTGTTGTATCACAGAGGCTTGAAGAGCAGTACATGACTTACGGTCTGCGCTGAGTGAACACGATAGGAAAGCATGGTTAACTTTGGTGCACATAGATAAAATAGTTCTTAAAGTTAGGCATCTAAGGGAAGAACAGTTTTCCAAATACTTTGATTGGATGAGGACTGAAGATAACAAAACAGGCCTTTTATTTTCAAAGAAAAGTAACTATGAAGATAAAAAAATAATTATGAGGGGAATTGGAATTTTCGAAGCCAGTAAATTCAGGGGTAAATTATTTTGGCTTGGCAACCATTTAAAGAAAAAAAAAAAAAGGAGCCAGAGAAGTATCTCAGTAAACAAACAAAAAAAGAGCCAGACAGAGGTGGTACATGCCTGTAATCCCAGCACTTGGGAGGCAGAGGCAGGCTGATCTCTGTGAGTTCAAGACCAACCCTGGTCTGCAGAGTTAGTTCCAGGACAGGCTCTAAACCAAAGCTACAGAGAAACTCTGCCTTAAAAAACCAAAACAAAACACAAACAAGAATGTGAACTGTTATTAAAGACTACTTAAGTTTTATTTTACGACAGGTCTCACTAAATTACAACATGGCCTTGAACTCGGTCTGTTTTCCAGATGGTCTCTGAAAGTTGTTATCTTTGTACCACCAGGGTGGCCTTTGACTTCCTAAAAGGTACAAAGGTATCCTAAGCCTCAGTTTCCTTAACATAATAACATAACATAGTTCATAACATAATATTAAAACAAAACAAATAAATCGTATCTATTACAGAGACTCACTATGAGGACTAGGCGAGGTTATGTTATGTACTATATGAAATTCTTGCCCAACTTCTTAGTAAAAGTGACTGTTCAATTGGATTTTTCTTTCATGGAGAAGGAAATTTCTTGACCACTGTTTCTCTTAGCAATTGTTTATTTGAGGATGTGGTGATATCTTGTTTATACATTAACAAATAAAGCTTGCCTGCAGATCAGAGGGTGGAGCTAGCCACTAGTTAACCATAGAGGTTTGGAGGTCTGTACAGACAGACAGGAAGTGATATGGCTGGGGAGAGAGGAATATGAGGTAGGAGAAAACAGGAACTCTGTCTCTTTAGGATCAGGAGTTAGCAAGGTAAGAGTTGGCTGTGACTTGCTCTTTTCTCTCTCTGATCTTTCAGCATTTGCCCTGATATCTCATCTGGCTATGGGCATTTATTTATTTATTTATTTATTTATTTATTTATTTATTTATTTACTTTGAGACAGAGTTTCTCTGTGTAGTTTTGGGCCTATCCTGGTACTCGCTCTGGGGACCAGGCTGGCCTCAAACTCACAGAGATCCTCCTGCCTCTGCCTTCCCAAGTGCTGGGATTAAAGACATGCGCCACCAATGCCCGGCTATGGGCTTTTATTATTAAGACCTATTAGAACTCATGCTTCATGAAAGCTGATCCATGCCACATACATCTGTCACTAGAAAATACTATTAAAATAAAGATGGTTATCACTTTCAGAAATCCTGAATTCAAAAGTCTGATTTTAGGGGTCGGAGAGATGACTCAGCAGTTGAGAGCTCTTCATGTGTTTCCAGAAGCCCCAGGTTGTGTTTTCAGCCTCCACAGGACAACTTACAAAGCTGTTTGTTAACTCCAATTCCAGGACACCCACTGCCCTCTTCTGGCTGCTTCTGCACTGCATGCATAGGGATATGTAGACTACCACTCAACACAAAATAATAAAGACAAATATGTAAATCTTTTTTAAAGTCAGCTTTTAGTTTTAAAAAAAGTAATTCAAGGAGAAACCATTTTTTGATGTGGCTAATGTCTTAAACAAAATATTAAGTTTCTCTCTTAAGAAAACATTTTCTGGCTCTTCTCTCTTTTCGCTTCTCTCTCTGCCTCTTTCTCTGCCTCTCCTCTCTTCTATTTCTCACTCACTCGCTCTCTGTCATATAATAAATTGGTTAATGTATAAAGAAAAAGAAAATATTTCCTGGTGTGTGATATTGTCTTGTTCTAGTTGAGGTGGAAACATGTAGAACCAATTTTCAAGATACAGATAGCTCTAGTTGGCTGAACACATGAGGGATCCACTCAGAGAGCTCAATGAGAAGCTCACGAGACTGCTAAGAAGTAGAAGCAGTGCTTGGTTTGTTGTTGTGTGTGCTGCTCTTATCCTCCACTAAAGTTGCCAGTGGTGACACATGCCTCAGTCCCAGCACTCAGGAAGCAGAGGTAGGCAGATATCTGTGAGTTTGAGGCCAGCCTGGTCTACAAAACTACAAAGAGAAACCCTGTCTCAAAAAAGAAATGTTCTCGTTACTAGTATTCACTTAGACTCAGCCAAGCAGTCTGAACATTTTTCACTATACGACCTAAGAGTTCTTTTCAGTTTTACTGATATTTTGAAAAGCAAGATAAACTTTTTTCCAGCAATTTCCCACTAATATGCTAGTATAAAACAATATGTTTCAAAATTGAAAAAATTGTCCATTATCACATAGTCTGAGCCTAATGCACTATATGTATTTTACCTTATGAATTGGTATCCTGATATAATTAACATTTTGCTTCCAAAGTTTGGTTGGTTACCAAAACTGAAAAACATAAACTTTATCCCATTATAAGTTGGGTTTTATGTTATAACTGATGCACTCTACTAAACTCAGAATCTGTACCAATCCAAGTCACAACAAAAAAGTCTGATAGGACTCATGTCTTTTTTCTTTTGTTATTATTGTTAGTGTGTGTTGTTGTTATTGTTGGTGTGTGGGCATGTGTATATGTGTATACTAATATGTATATGAATGCATGTGGAGGCCAGAAGTGGACATTGGGTGTCTTCATCAGTTGCTCTCCACCTTATTTTTTGAGATAGGTTCTCTCACTGAAACCACAGCTCACTGATTTGCTTGACTGACCCCAAAGATCTTGTGTTCACCTCTCTAATGCTAGAACTCCTGTCATGTGCTGCTGCTCTCAGCTTTTGCATTGGTGCAAGAGGTTGAACTTAGGTACCCCTGCTTACACAACAAACACTTGACTGAGCTATCTCCCTATCCCGATGGTGCTCAGATCAAGCTTCTTCTGCTGAGGATTCTTGATGGGGAAATGGTTTTGTTAGATGACAATAAAGGCACTTCATTTTTATCCTTTTCTCCCCTCCCTCCCCCCCAGTTTGCTGGAAACCATGTCTCACTATACAGATGAACCCAGATTTACCATAGAACAGATAGATCTACTCCAACGTCTTCGGCGTACTGGGATGACCAAACATGAAATTCTCCATGCATTAGAAACTTTGGACCGTCTTGATCAAGAACATAGTGATAAGTTTGGAAGGAGGTCCAGCTACGGGGGAAGCTCATATGGGAACAGTACCAACAATGTTCCAGCATCTTCCTCTACAGCCACAGCTTCCACGCAGACCCAGCACTCCGGAATGTCCCCATCACCCAGCAACAGTTATGATACCTCCCCACAGCCTTGCACTACCAATCAAAATGGGAGGGAGAACAACGATCGATTGTCCACATCCAATGGGAAGATGTCGCCATCTCGCTACCATGTAAACAGCATGGGTCAGAGGTCATATAGCTTTGAAGCCTCAGAAGAGGACCTAGATGTAGATGATAAAGTGGAGGAATTAATGAGGTTAGTTGCTTTGCCTATTCTGAATTCCCCTAAAACATCTATGTTTTTAAGATTGTGTTTAAATAATAGCCTGTATTTCAGAAACTTAACAATAAGAACAGTGGTTTCTCCCTTCCTTCTTTGGAAATGAAAGTAAAACTTGAAATTGTGGTTTTAGATCAGATTTTTTTTTTTTTTTCTTTTCTACTTCAGCCCTTTCATTGCATGATGAGGCTTTTCTAGTCTCTTGATTTGTCAAAGGGCTTTCTCTGTTTATGGTTTTAGCAGTTTCTGACTGACCGAAGTTCATTTAATCCAATCCTTAGTCCTTCATTGTAAATATTTTTCTCTGAGTGATAAGATAAATTTACCATGATGTAGAATACATGCACTCTTCATTTTTCCTTGCACCATTTCAATCAGAGCAACAATTTGAGCAACTGTTGGGTCACAAGTAATTTTCATAAGAAACATAGATACCATCCTACCCTTAAAAGGCTGAAGTTCTAATTTTAGCAATAGATGCAGCACCCACATGGACTCCATACCTTATCAGTTGCCAAGTAAGCATGTACACTTAGAGTTTAAACTCAAAGAAAAAAGCCTACTTTCAACTAAGGTCATCAAGACTTTGTAGCAGACCTGGTTCACTTTGAGGGTAGCAGACATGTGTTTTCCATGCTGTGTCCCAAACTAGGAACTTCCTTTAGCACATGGTGTGGGCTCAGTATGTTAGATGAGTAGATAAATTTGTCATAAACCATAAGGGTATCCTATTTTGAATTAAGGATTTGGAGCTGGTTCATGGGGAAAAGGCGTTTGCTGCCAAGCCAGAGGACATGAGTTCCATCCCTGGAACCCACACAGTGGAAGGAGAGAACCAACTCCCCAAAGTTATCCTTTGATTATAAGCATGCCAACACACAAATACTCCTGCACATATATACATACAGTCAATAAGAGAAGTTTTTGATTTTTTTAAAATAAAAATTGAAATATACATATTTTATTTCTTAAGGAACCAGGAAAAGTATCAAAAAAGGCATGTTTTTAATCTGGTTAAAATGAGCTGAATGTGGTCACTTATGCATGTAACCCCAACATTTGGAAGGGTAAGGCAGGAAGATTACTGTGAGTTCAAGGCTAGCACTTCTAGGCCTATCTGGCTTACAGAGCATGGATCTTTCCAAAAAAGCATCAAAAGAAAAACAATACAAGCCAGGCATTGGTGGCGCATGCCTTTAATCCCAGCACTCGGGAGGCAGAGGCAGGTGGATCTCTGTGAGTTCGAGGCCAGCTTGGTCTACAGAGTGAGTTCCAGGACAGGATCCAAAGCTACACAGAGAAACCCTGCCTTGAAAAACCATAAAAAGAAAAAAGAAAAACAATACAGATGAGGCAGACTTTGGCAAACTTCAGCACACCTTTTCAAAGGCTTCACATTCTACGCTAAGTGATTAGGATTAGGGTGCTGTTACAGGTCTTTACAAACAGAAACAACAAAAGCATTGTTTTTAGTATGGTTAGGCTGTTGTGTAAAAAATGATTGCTTTGAGCTGCAGAGATGGACTCCTTGGTTAAAAGTACTTGTTCTTGCAGGAAACCTGAGTTTGTTGCCCTGTACCCACTTGATAGTTCACAGCCATCCATAATTCTCATTCTGGGGGGTTCAAAACCCTCTTCTGACCTCTGCAGGCCCCAGGCATGCATATGGTACACCTATGTACATGCAAGCAAAACACTCATACCCAAAAAATAGCCTAAAAAAATTTTAAAGATTGAGAGGTTGTAGATAAATTAGTTACAGTTGATAATGAACAGAATTGTAGACTTAACAGAAACAAAAATAAAAGTTGTAACTGAGTTTTAACTGGTCCTGAAGATTTTCTGACATCAAGACAGAATGACGGTGTCGTGACAGTGCTGTGTGGAGATCCATCCTATGGCACCTCTTGGAGTTGAGGAGACAGCCTTAAACACACGGCCTCTTCTGAGTTTGTTTTCAGGGTTGAGTTGCCACACATGGAGTCCTTGGCTGCAGGGACTGTGGGGTACATGTTATAAAGAGTATCATACCTCAACCACAATCTATGTTAGCAAGCTTTTAGCACTCTGAAATACAAGAGATCAAGAGGCTTTTGGTTTATCTTTGACTATTAACCCAGGTGTTCACAGTTCAGCTGTTGCTAGTGACTTTTTTAGTGCTGAAGACTGAACCCAGGGCTTTATCTTCCACTGAATCACTTCCTTGGCCATAGATGGTTTGGGGAATTTAGCATCTTTCATTGTTCATTTCAAAAAGGAAAACCATTTTGGCAAATAAGTTACTTTATTCATTGAAGTTTCATGAGATTTTAATTATCCTGAATAGAGAAGATAGCAAAATATCATTTATTTGTTCAGGTACTAGCTTGTTTTGTTTGTGTACACTCAGTTGGGTACAGTCTCACAGACGTAACGTGTGTTTCACTTGTGTGCTCCTAATTGTTGTGTAGTTATTAGGACTCTTTCTTCTTCCCTTCCTCTGCTTCTTGCTCAGAATAGCTCCTTTGACATTTAGCTAGCTAGGGTCCTCTAGACCTGGCACCCTTGTTCCTCCACAATTGGGCGTTCTCACATTCCAACTTTGCTCATGTGTGCCCCTTCTCAACCTTTTCAAGTTTGCAGAGGGCAATCCTTCTTAGGACACAGGGAGAAGTGACTGAATAACTGCATACATGACGTTTGCAGTCCCACCAGCTATGCTGGGTGCTTGATCAGTGAAACTGGGTTCATGAAAATTAGTAATTTGCTCAAGAAAGTTTGATTATTGAGCCTAAATTATATCCCATGTCTTTATTATTGTGTTGCTGGTATGTTTTATTGCTGATATTATTTATGCTTATAGATTAAATAAGGCTTTAGGAAAGGTAATAAATATAATTCTGCAGAAAGTGTGAATGGCCTTACTGGGCTTGCCATTCTCCTTCCCTTGGCATGTCTGCTACTTCAAATCAGTCACTTACTAAACATTGAATTTTTATTGGTGAGATATTAGAGACATTTTCAAACAATAGCTCTTTCTGAGTTTTCTGAATCTGTCTAGTGATATACTGTCCTTTCTGCTTACTCAACATTGGTGACATGACAGTGACCTGGAATTGCTCAGCTCTAGTAGGAAGTGTGGATATCTGAGGGCCTTCCTGCCTCCTGTGTTGCCCACTGCCACAACCTGCAGGTGCTCTGCCCTGAGACATGCTTTGCAGATTTTGTAATCCAGTGAATCCATATTACAGTATATAATCTGAAGGTTTATAATGGAGATTTGTGTGTGTGTGTGTGCAGCTTCATCAGGTTATAACTGTACCCTTGACTATTTGTTAAAGAGTCAGAAATGATCTTTTCTAGTTTTGAATTGGGATCAGAAAAGGAAGAAGAGAGCCACACTAGCATGTAAATTCTCTGTAAGTGGTTGAATGTGCCATTTTAGGGAAGGACTGAAAGCCAACAGTAAAGCCAACTCATTTTACATTAGGACATCTTAAAAGGCCTATCAGTATTTAAGTATATGCATAGAAATGTGTGTCTGCATCTGCTAATGCAATAGACTACAGCAGTGTTTTCCTGCAGTTATGTATGTATGTTATGAGGTAACGTAAATGAGGCTTATTAGAGTTAGTAATGCTGTACATTAAGCATGTTGCTCTACATCACCCATACACTACATTTTGTTAGTATTTTGTACAGAATTCTGCAAGTTCATTCCAAGTTGGTTATGTATATGCTTAAAACTAAAGCATTGATTGAGCATCCTTGAGCCATAGTGTGTTAAAATTAAAAACTTCTGAGCGCTCTGTGTTGCAAGTGAAAAATTCCATAATACAACACATTCCACTGTCCCAGGTTCCATGTAGTCTCTATATAATTATGTAAAACATAATCGAACTTGGCATTTATACTTGGGCTCTATCCCTGAAGTATTTCATTATAAATATGAAAATAGTCCTGAATTTAAAAAAGAAGATTTGAAAAGGCTTGTGGTTTGATGTACCTCAGTGATGGCCCTCAGCCTGTATTTACTTGTGAGACAGGATGTTCATGCTCTGTAAGAATGTAACACCACTAAGTAAGTGGTGGTATGCTCTCCCTCCATCTGCATATAGAACAGCTCTCCCTGTAATGTTCTCTCTTAAAATTGTGCTTTGTATCTGCACAGGGAGAAAGTCATGAGTGTCTTTCAACTGTGAAATACACTGTGTTGGCTTTGTCTTGGGGTGACTTTGAGCTAGCCCAGAAGAATACTGAGGGTATGTTAGCTGGGGGAGTATGAGTCATCTTAAAGCATGTCATTTTAAAATATGAGCCCTTTAATATGCTTTCTTCCAGAAAACAAATCAGTGTCATTTTGAGTCACCATAAATAACCTCTCCATCCTGATTTGGAAAACATAAATGTACTTGAAAATAAGAATTTAAAGCTGTTATATAAATTATTTAGATCACATTTTCCATTTTACAGCCTTTAATCTCTAGAAATTTTTCACTCATTAAAAAAATTAATTTTTATTATATTTTTAAAAAATCCATGCTGAATATGACAGAATCTTTTGCTAAAGAACTTTCCAGGCTAGCAGGATAGATGGGCTATAGAGCATGTGTCCATACTACAATTGAAATGTTAAGAGTTAGCTTTGTTAAAAGAGATTTTTCTTTGTAAGTTATGATGATCAGAGAGAACTTCTCCAGATGACAGTTACATCGTGTCTTTTTAAAAGTCAATCAGAAAGCCTGGTGTGGTGGTACTCCTCTGGAATCCAGCTACTTGGGAGGTGGAGGCAGGAGACTCACTGTGGGTTCAAAACCAGCCTTGGCTACATAGCAAGTCCATACTCAAAACAAAACAAAAAGCAAGGAGCATTAGAATCAGGGCAGGCTGGTGGTCGTACTTAGATCCCGGCACTCCAGAAGCTGAGGCAGGAAAAGCTCTGGTTTAAAGTGATCCTGGGTTAATGGTAAGACCCCTGCCTCATAGTCCTTTTCTCATATACATACAAGTGATTTGTCAAAAGGGCATTCCTGATGGACTCTTTCATATATATTAGGAAGGATGGTAGTGGAGAGTTTAACTAGTTTTAAAAACAAAGGCTGTGGGCAGTGATGGTTAGAAAGGGAGTGCTCCATCCTTTTGAAGTCCACCAGATGAATACAATGGCAGCAGTTTGAAAATAGCAGCAGGAAGAAGTGGCATACACTTCAAGTGCCTCAGTTAAGATCTATCAAGTGGTTGCTTACATTGGAAGTTAAAAGTGAACCCAGAGAAATATTGGGCTTAGTTTTTATTTTAATTAATTAACTTCAGAAGGGGACAGTCTTGAGGCATGTGAGATATTGTGGTGCAGCAGTAGAAGATACTCATTCTCTTTAGGCAAAATGTCAAATTTTCAACAAAGGGAAGAAATACTGAATAGAATAGGAGTCAGATTTGTGTGATACTTCACACTAACAAATAGGTAGTTCCACAGGGTAGAATGCAGTTACAGGAGAGGATAAAGAAGACAAAGAGCCAGACCAGCCCTCTAGAGTGAACTGGATAGTGAAGGCAGATGGTATTGCTGTTTTTGCAAATACCTAGTGAACCCAAGCAAGCAGGCATTCTTCTCCAGTGACTGAGAGCACTTTGTCCATGGTGCTGTGCTCTGAAGTACCTGGTCTAAGATTTCACTTCAGTCTTAACAGCTAAGCTGATCAATTGTTTCTTCTTTTTTTGGATCCTGTCTGACTGTTTTATAGAAATAATAGTTTGTGTCTATATGATACATTCACAATTTCAAAAGTACTTGAAAGAAATGTCTTTTGCGTGTATTATGTGCATGGTTGTGTCTGTGTTTTTATCATTCAGTCATTTGTTTTTTTTATTTCATTGCTTAGAGGAACATTTTAAAAGCTTTTTTCTTTTTTGTCAGTGCTAGAGATTAAACACAGGATCTTGTACATTTTGGGGTAGCATACTGCCACGAGCTATATCCATGACCTCTTAAAACCCTTTGAAATTTGGGGATAAGATGGGGACCAACAGGAATGGAGAAGAGGAGAGGGAAAGAACCAACAAGAGTAGAGAAGGGGAGAAGGAAAGGACCAGCAGGAGTTGAGAAGGGTAGAGGGAGGGGACCAGCAGGAGTGGAGAAGGGATGGGGGTGGGGGACCATGGCAGCTAAGTGACTGGATCAAAGTACATTATACACATGTGTGAAAATGCCATAGTGAGACCCATTATTCTGCACAATTAATGCACACTAACTATAGAAATGAAACCTTTGGAAGGAGTGTGTTAATATTCTTTAACAAATGGTGAAACCGGAGCACAACTTTATTAAGTGGCTTTCCCTCACATGTTTTTGTCTTTTAAGGAGTGAAGGGCTGGAGATTGAGACCAGGAGGGCTCTTATGATGCTGGCCAGGCATTTAAGCTTTTAGCTACACCTCAGTCCTCCCCCCCCCCAAAAAAAAGTGTTTATGGTAAAGCAGTGAAGAATGTATGTTTAAATTTACTGTGGATACTTTAGAGACCATAATGTATAAGAACATATTCTTGGAGGTGGTGTGTGGGTTGCTGTTTTCTAAACATTGGGGATTCCTCCTGTCTTGCTGCAGTTCCTTAATAATGCCATACTGCAAGGCTGTGATTAATTCACAGACTGGTGACATGGCTGGGTGTTACCTGTGCTGTATGATTTAGTGTCTGCTCTAGGTGCATTTAATTGAAAATGAGTTGGTTTAAATTTATTTTAAATTATTAGTCAAGAAAATACCACTTTCTCATTTTGCCTACAAAAGAACATTTTTAGATTTAATCTGAACAATTATCCTCCAATATAGTTTCATTTTCCAAGTTCATTTGGTATGTTGAAATACAATAGTTTATACATAAATTTCAACTTAATTTTTGTAGTTATGTCAGAAGACAAATGATTTGGTTTGTGTGTGTACAAAAGCCATCTGAAATAGCTACTGCTAAAGTTGTCTCTTGCTTATAGTTGGTACAGAGACAGGCATTTTGAGAGAAATGTAGTCAACATGTAGATTGGAATCTAAGTAAGAAATTGTAAATATTACATTAGGCAGCTAAATTTTTATTTTCTTCTTAATGCTTGATTAGGATTTCCAGTCAGTAACTCAGGGATATTGTAGAGCTACGTATTGGATGCTCACTATCCCATCTCTACTCTTTTCCAAAATTCCCCACAGCAGGGACATAGCCGAGACAGTTCTGTGCCTGCTGCACAGGAGTGAGGAACTGAGTTCATGTCTTCAGCACCCAGAAAAAAGTCATGCAGTTCTGGCATGTGCCTTTACCCTGAGGGAATCCCTGCAGCTCGTTGGCTAGGCAGTCAAACAAACTGGTGAGTTCTGGGCTCTGACACAAACAGGGACACTCAGGTGTACACAGGCTACATGCACAAGTACAGCTCACAGGGAACATGGCACCCCCCAACAGAGTGTATATCCCTTCCAGGTAAGGGGGCTGAAAGACCTGTCTAAATTAAATTGCAGGTTAGTATCATCTTCTGATGGGATACTTGTTTCTTCTCCAATCTACAGAGATACTTGAGCCCCTATGAAATTTGTGGTTCATTCACAAAACAGTTTTTAAAGGTTTGTGATGCCTTTGTCTTAGATCAAGGGTCAAAGGTTTTAATGTAAATAACTAGTGCTTAATATTTTAGACTTTGCCAAGAGGCAAAATTGAAGGTATAGTATAGATACTCCATACAAGAGAGAAAGCCAGGAATGGCAGCATACAGCTACAGTCCCAGCACTCAAGGCCCGCATGGATTAATAGACTATGTCTCAGAAAACTAAAATGAGCGGGGGAGAGAGAAATGGCCACAGCTTTTCTCTTAGCATCAAGAGACTGAGATGGGAGGATGGCCTTCAGTTTGAGCACCACCTGGACTAAATAGTTTCAGGCTAGTCTAGCAAGTGAGTCCCAATCAGGCAGTGGTGCACTCATTTAATCCCAGCACTCAAGAGATGGAAGCACGAGGATAGTTCAAAGCCAGCCTGGTCTACAGAGTGAGTTCCAGGACAGCCAAGGGGATATAGAGAAACCCTTTCTCAGGAAAGATGGGAGGGGAAGGATGGAGGGAGGAAGGAAGGAGAAAGAAAAGATTGAGTCCCTGCCTGAAAAAAAAAAATTAAACATGGAATTGTAATAATTGTATATAGTGTGGGGGAGTTAAGCAATATTTGTAAAAATAAAAGGAAGGATGATTTTTATTTATTTGCAAAGGTCCATCGAGAAAGATTATTAGTTTGTGGTTTATGTGAGAGCAGATGGCAGGGTTACTTGAGCTGAGGCTCTTAATCTGTTGACCTTGTTTAGATAATAAGCTACCATGATTCTGTGTCAGTTTTCATCTTGAACAAGAAATAGTGTTCTGGTTTTATAGTCTTTAAGCTCCAGTTTAACCTTTATTTATTGTTTGTTTTGGTGAAAGAATGTTCTTTGTCACTCTTAAGGATGTCTGGTCTATGAAAACGTGCTGACTTTTTAAATAAAGGTTGTAATGGACCGAGAGTATATAATAGCAAGGTTGAATCTTAAGGTTTTTATTAACTATTCTGTGTACTTATTATATGTAATGGGAAATTAATAAATACTTTTAATATGAAGCTGTTAATATTTCAAACCATCCCACATTCCCTTGCGGGGGGGGGGGGGGGGGGGGGGGGGGGTGGAGGGGGGGGGGGGGGGGGGTGGGGGGGGAGGGGGAGGGGGGGGGGGGGGGGGGGGGGAGGGGCAAGGCTGATACAGGAGGGTTGGAGAGGAAGCAGCTAAGGGTGTCTCTTACAATGCTAATATTTTCAGTTGTGGGAATGGTATTGATTTCTGCCCCTGAAGCATTTCCCAGGTTTTAAGATAAGTGTCAGTCACTTCTACAGTTCCTCCATTAACCTGCAAATCCACAATCTGTTTACAGCTGATTTTCATTGCTGTTGCTTTTTATTTTTCCAGGCCTTCTATGTATGATTTTTTCCCCAAAAATGAGACTACATACACTATATGTGGCAGCCTTGTTCCTAATTTAAATTATACACAGCATGCTATTAATAGTCTTCCCACATGAGACTTGAATCCACAGTGGCATTCACTGAGGTGTCTGTCTGGTGGTGTGACGTTTCAGGACTGGAGTATTTGGTGTTTCTTGGTTTGTTGTAATTTCATATTTTCACTCAAGTTTAGTCTGTTTCCCTTTTATTTTTGTGTCCTTCCTTTCTGTGTTCTCCCCACCTCTCTGCTTCACCTTTCTTTTAGCAAAGATGAGGATTTCTACCTTCAACATACATTGTTGGTCTTGTCTTCTGTTTTTGTTAGGAGGGACAGCAGTGTGATAAAAGAGGAAATCAAAGCCTTTCTTGCCAATCGGAGGATTTCCCAAGCAGTTGTTGCACAGGTAACAGGTAAGAGCCGAAGAGCCCTTTATTCTAGAATCGTGTCTCGTCTCTGCCATCTGTGCAGGTGTTGGAATATCACTTACATTTCCGTGCTGCAGCCCTGTCAGCTTGGGCATGGTGACGGAAGCCTGGGATTTAAACCAGTACCTGCCAGATCAGGGACATGCTCCAGTGCTTTTTTTTAAAACTTGTGTTAGTAAATTTTGTAACATTAGTAATAAGAAAAACAAATCCCTACTTTATACTTGAAAGGGGATGCTGTTTCCTTTTGATCATGATAGCGCCTGTGGCACACGCACGCACATCAGCTGCTGTCGGTTTCTTATTTTTAAAAGCTTTGCCTCCTCTAAATCAAATCTAGGACTTTACCAGTGAAAAGTAACTCATGAGGAAAAAGCAAGTTGTGGGAGTCTTTGTTTTCCTTTTTTGTTTTGGGGATTTGTTGTTGTTGGAGCTTTGGTTTTGTTGTTTGTTTTTTGTTTTTTCTTGAGACAGGGTGGCATGCAGTTAAGGCTGGCTGCAAACTCACTCTGTGACTGATAATGACCTCCTGATCCTCTTGCAGCCACCTAACAAGTGCTGGGATATATGCACCACCATCCCCTGCTGGAAGTTGTGTCTTTAGAGTGACCTTTTCTGTGTATGAAAGCTTTCCTCATGCCCTCCTGAGAAGACGAGAGTCACCGTTGTCTTTTTGTTGTTCTTTATATCCCATCCCATTCTCCACCCAACCCAGACCTCACCCTGACATGTGGTGTCTATGTTTCATTCTCTATCCAGATTACATTTTAAAAATGGAACTCTTGAATCTGGTGTAGATGTGTCGTCACTATTGGTGTGTGCTCTTCCTTAGTTCTAGAGCTCTTAGAAGTTCTTCCGTTGCTGTGTTGTTCCACTTTCTGCACTGACAGTTACAGTAATTACCACCACCACCCCTTTTTGCACACGGCTGCAAATTTATGCCTTGGGTCTTCTCAGGCCCCTACCTCAGTTTTCATACTTTGTGGTTACAGGTTGGCGTCTGAGTTCCTTCCAGCTCTGATGTTCCTTCTGTCGTGGAAATGCTGGTACACATGGAAGCAAATGTTCTTAAGAGGGTATTCCTACTCATTAATTGGATTAAAATGTAACTTCAGAGTTAAAAGTGTGAAATTTCATTCCCAATACCTAATGTCCCAACCCTTTATGATGTGTGTACATACATGCAGGTGTGTTTATCTTACCAGTAATATACTTTTATAAACAATGTCTTTGTTACTGGTAAAAGACTTTTAAACACATCCTTCTGTGTAGAAGTCTTAATGGTAAAGAAAGGCGTGTGAATTTAAGTCTTTAGGTATTTGCTAGTGTGTGTATAAGATAAATTATTAATCTTTATCTTTAAAAAACTAAGTTACAGTGCTTAACACACTATGAGGGCAAGTTGTGTAGGTGTTACTGAAACTTATGATGTGGTAGATTATGCCATGATGGGATGTTGTCATTTTGTACCTTTACTTTAGCCCTTAGGGCTATAAGCAATATATGTTCTGGTTTGCAAGTAGGGGAGAGGGCAGACAAATCTGTAACATGATACAATTGCAAGGTTGGTTTTGTTCAGAACAGAATATTTCTGAGTATTGAATATGTTGAATCTCGATCATCTTAGGCGCATGAGTGAGTGTGTGCATGTAAGACAGAAGACAGCTTTGAGGAAATCAATTTTCTCCTTCTACTATGTGAGTCTTGGGATCAACTCACCTTGTCAGGCTTTGTGACCAACTCCCTTACTCTCTGAACCAGCCCTGTCTTGGACTTGTAAAATAGTAGCTTTGGATGAGTGTCCAACATTGTTGCAAATCATAGAAAGATACTCTTATTAAAGTTCTTCCTTATGCCAAACATGGTGGCATATCTAAAAGCATTGTACCATAGTGAGTTAAACATAGTTTATCAAATATTTCCATTTTGGAAAGGGAAACTGGAAAATGATTTTACACCTTGCTATTCAAAATCTAGTCCAGGAAACAGCATTTTTTGGCATTAGTTGAAAACTTGTTAGACATATAGGAATATACAGTATCACCTCTAAATCTGCTGAAGTAGAATTTACATTTCAGCCAGATCCCCTGAGTAATTTGAGAAGGTTTGAGAAGGACTGTTCTAGGAAACTGGTAAGCTTTCCAAACAGTAATGCCAGTTAGTAGGCGTTGGTTATCATTGCTTCACTCAAAGTATCATCTTCCATTTGGGAAAGGAAAAGCAGGGATACACTTAGACATTTGTTACCTGTTGTACACACGGCCTTCCTTTTACCACTGTAAAGATGGGATATTGTTAAAAAATATCTTCCCCATCTCAGTTTCACCTCAAAGTGGTTTTCCTCTTTGTTTCTGTTCCAAAGGATTGGGTTCAACTTTCTGTGAACCTGCGTTTGACCCTTCATTGTCTAAAACAAGAAATTAAAAACAACAACAAAAACATTTATTTTTCATGAGTTTGTGTTTACGTGTCACAGTATATGTTTTGGGGTGAGGGTTTCTTTTTCTTTCTACCATGTATGTTCCAGGGATTGAATTGGGATCATAAGCCTTAGTAGCAAGCATGTTTATCCACTGAGCTATCCTGTCAGCCCAGGAAATTATTATAATGCAGGCCTCACATCCATTTTTATTGCCATCTTCTGTTATGTATATTCACACAGCTGAATTTAACTGCTTGTAGTTTTGAGAATCCTGCTAGTTTGCATGTTCCCAAATTCTTGGTTTACCAGGATGCCTTTACCTACTCAGCATAGCTCTATCCATCCCTACTAACCACGCCTCACTCTTAGCACTGGCGTTGGCACAGTGACTCTCCTAAGGTTTAATCCTCAGTTGAGTGATGCCGTTTGTTCAGAGGGTCTGTCACTGCCCTGGTACTTAACATTTCACACCCACCTTGCTGCCTGGTAGAGCTAGCTGAGGCTTAGAGGAGCTAGTTGGGTTTAGCTCAGATCACATGTCAAAAGGTTCGCAGAGACACTGTTTTGGGGATAATTGCTTGCTCAACAATCTGTATATTTTGAACGTAGGAAAGTTTCAGGGTTTTTTGTTTGTTTCATTTTGTTTTAATCTACAGAATAGGAAAATGAGGAAATTAATAAGCAAGTTAATTAATTTATTATTCATCTATTGGCTAACTCACTGAGTTGTGTTTCTCATGAAATTATGAATTAATCACGTTTGTGTTCCACCCTCTCCATCCAGGAAGCTCAGAGAAACAGCACTCTTCTTATGTCTGGGAAGAACAATGAGTTAGTTAGTGAAGCCCTCATGATTGACCCACTTAGGGCCGGGTGAGCCTGGGTTGGGAATCCTTCCCATCCCTGGAATATCTAATCTAGCCATACATGATCTTGTGTCATTCTATAGCAGATTCTCTGAAAGTCATTTGAGTTCAACTCTTAATATGTGAAGTCAACCTTAAGATAAAAATCAGAGCTGATGGTACCTAACAACAGAAAATGCTAAATAAAAAAGTGTAGCAAGGTGCAAAATTCCAACACATGTGCTGTTCCAGAAGCAAATGCAGAGGCTGCTTTTTATAGATTTGGAGGGCTTCTATAATAAGATAAACAAGAAGTGCAGGGGTGGGGTCTGTATAAATAATATCCTGCTGATAGGAGAAATGACAGTGTAAACAGGATATAATAACAGTGCCTGCCGAATTCCCAGCATGTTATTTGTAGATTCCGTCACAGTCACAGCTGCTCCCACTATGGGTGGATTTTTACCTCTGGGAGAGGTCGGCCAAGATTCTAGCTTCTCACTAACAATGATAGGGTGGTGAGCATAGCCTTGGCTTTAGTAATAAACACATGCATTTTATATTCACTGTCAGTAAAATGTTCTCTTAGGCTGTTTAAGAATTCTTAAAACAAACAAAAAAAATATTGATGACCTCTGGGGAAAACCGGCCATACACAGAATAACTGAGTAAATATACAAAGGTTGATGGATGCTCATCAGCCAAAGAAATATTCTAATTGGTGTCATGTCTTCTAAGAAAAAGTGAACACATGGGAGCAGAAAAAAGTTAGTGTCTCTGAATTCTCAGAACAGTTGTGTTGAGTTGTTGGGGTACAGTGGGAAATGAACAGACGCCAAGTTCCTTCTTTCTGTCATTTAATCATCTTGTGACCCACGGCCTCACTTTCCTTACTTACATGATGTGGGACTTTGACCAAATAATTGTCCTTTTAGTCCTTGTAACAAAATATAAACTGAGTGTTATACAGACACAGAAATACATTTCTCATGATTCTGCGGACCAGGAAATAAATCCTCAGCTAAGGCAGGTTCCATGCCTGCTTTTCTGGCTCATGCACTACCCTTCTTGCTGTGTCTTCTCATGGTGGTGAAGGTGACTTAGTCAGCCCCCCTCATGTGAGCATCATCACCTTAAAGGTAAAGACATCAGTAAAAGGCTTGGGGTGGGCATAGACATTCACACTGTAGCAACTTTACTTCCCCTCGCTGCCCAGTTATAGTCTGCTTTTAAACTACAAGCACATTTGGCACTTGTGTCTACTTGAATCTAGCAATTTCATTTCCAGCTATTTTCAAACCACTTCCTTTGTTATTGAATGAAAATATTGTATGCGTTGACTGTTCTGCAGTTGCAAAAAAAAAAATTGTATTGCCCTTTTTCTTAATCATAGGACTTTCGACTAATTGTTATAAACCAACTAAGATATCAGTTTACATTTTTAAAACTAAACTTTATTCTCTAAAGCAGTTTTTAGTTCACAACAAGATTGACAGAAAGTTGAGAGACTTCTAAAATATCCCCTGGTCCACCATGCATACCCAGTCTCCTCCACTGTTACCACCCACAGTCAGTGAACCTATGCTGATATGTCATATGTTAGGAACTAGCACCCCTAACTGACAGCAGGTCTCCTCTTGGTATTGTACATGCCATGGGGTTTTGACAAAGGTCAGCAACATATGTCCACAAATAAACTACCACACAGGATGATTTCA